ACCGACTAAAGTAACTGGCCTTTTGTTATGTTCTTCAGACTGAAGTGAGTGGTATGGTGTTTTGTATTGTGGGTTTTCAGGGAATGATTTTGTTATGGTAACTGGAACAGTTTAAGGACCAAAAGTGATCAGAAGACATTTCCCAATCTAGATCAGACCTATGGATTGGTGGGTGTTGTGCTGGTATATTTGCTGTACAGTTAGGATTGTAACAAAGCAGGTTGGGCTCTTCCAGCCTGAGGCAAGTGGTGGTGGACATGGGGGAAATTCTAGGTACGAGGGCGAGGTAGGATAAATGTCAGGTGTCGACATTTTGAACTTTCCTCCCACGGCCTGGAGAACTGAATAGCAACTGAAAGAGCAGTCGCAGGCCTGAGGCTTTTATTGCACTCTTCATTCAAATGTGGACGAAAGGGACTTGCGTCATGTTATTTTTCACAAGAGCAGTTTTTCAAACAAAACGGAAAAAAAAGTTTTCTACTGACGCTTACCTCACCTGCTGCCAGCTTGTTTTAACGTCACCCTGAAAGTCACATTGAGCACATCGTTACAGTGCAGTCCCACTTCAACTCAGCGCTAAAAAAGTTCTGTTGTTTTTTCTTCCGTGTCTTGGCCGTGATGGACATTCTCACAGAGTTCCAGTTCCTGCATTGTATTATTTATTTGTTTTATTTCTGCTCGGCATTTACCGTTTCTCTCATGTTTGCAGTTTGCTGATTGATGTTTCTGGAGTTGCTGCTTTGTGTGAAAGACGTCTTTTTTCCTTCATTAAAGTAGAACAAAAATCGCTACAAAGTGTATTGCTGTATCTGTAATAGTTCCATTTAACTTGCACGACAACTTAAGAATTGGATTGAACTCTCCTCTATGTAGTTGATGCACCAAGCATTTTAGAATTGATTTTCAGCAATTCATTGTCATTTCAAACTTGGTTCAAGCACGTTTTGATGTTTTCCTCCCCCCTTTTGTTTTCATTTTTATATAATATATATACACACACGTGAAGGGCTCTGAGCCGTTACCCCACATGAAGGGCACTATATAAATCCAAGTTGTTGCTGTTGTAAAGGCACATGTATGTGCACACCAATGTATACATGCACACCCTCCATTAGGGGTCATTGAATAGGAATTTAAAGCAAAACACTTTTTTTAAAATTTCTAAAACCAAATTTGTAGGCATTCCAATTGACTTTACAAGTATTTCAGAATAAACTGTTAATCTCTTTCTCTCTCTCTCTCTCTCTCTCTCTCACATACTCACTCACTCTCTCTCTCTCTGTGTATGCATATAGGTGATCAGGAGGAAATGACAGTTTGCTTGACGCACTCTGCTGCACAGTGCTTCACTTATCTGCACTCTACTATTTCCAAACAAACTGTTGATCCTTCTGGGGAAGACCTAAATTCTCTCGGTTTTGTTTCAATCTCAGCATCGATGACTCGGCCAATCAGCCAGTTATTTATCATCCACTATAGGGAACTGACCTTCTGTTCTTCCATTCAGTTCTGAACAGCTCATCCAATTGGATCGTCTGGCTGATTTAGCTCTTAGAAAGATCTTCACTGATCATTTATCTTTGAGCCGAGCATGTGCGTTTCCATAGTGCCCTTTCCCGGAGTAGGAGACTGCATTGAAGTCGAGTGCATGCAGAGCTGCTTTGCATATCACTTCATATCCCTTCGGTCTTCCAATTTTGCTGGAGGAATTGGACAAACAAACCTGAATCCCCAAACATACTTGTCCTCACATGTAGAACATTTGAAGGAACGATGAACCCTGCTGGGTGATGCCCTTTATCACAGTACAAAGTATACTTATTAAGAAGGTGTTTAGCTTTGAGTCTGTCTTTAAGGAAGCTCCCATCATGCTGTATTACTGGCATGTTGGCCGAAGAGCTGAATGAATATAAAGGCCAATGGGAAAAAAATGTTGAGTCTTGCATATCCTTTGTGATCTGTTGCTATTGGTTAGGAATGGTGAATGCTACCTTACCACAAAAACCATGGCAGCAAGCAACAACTGGATTGAAAAGGGTTATTATAATTTTTATTAAAAAACTGAAGTAGAACGAAAAACTGAAGTGCCTTATTAATCACAAATGGATACATGATTCATCATTCATTATTGTCTTAATTGTACCAGAAAGTCTGGAGGTGTAGAGAGGTTGTTGTATTGAATCAAATGACGTGGCTGTCAAACTCTGACTCTTAATAAATAATGGGAATATCAGTGGATGAGTCACCTCGACCACTCTTTTCATGTATCCTCAAGGACAGTTACAAAGCAGCAGTGCTTGGGAGCTGGTCACATGCTCATATCATCTCTCTGTACTGAAACTGACGAACGTCAGAGGTGTTTGTGAACCTGAAGTCACACGGGAAAGGGAGTGTTTCGTTTTGTGAAGAGCAGGTTTTGTACCAGAATCTTAAAAAATAAATTTGTTGGGGAATTCATTAATGAGGTTCAGTTACACTCACGGTTGTAACGCCATTTTATTCTTTAATCTGAAACTGCTGACTACATCTGGAATAAATACAGTGTAATATTCATTGGAGCATATAAAGACTCATCGTAACAGAAATAGAGGTAACTTGAAGAGGAAGCCTCGTCACTGGGCTCCCTTGCAAAACTGTCACCGAAATTATCATTGCCTTAAATACCTTTTCTTTCTTCCAACCACTTCTATTGTCATTTTTTTAAAATCTGGTCTTGTGCAGTAAAATGCTACCACTTGTAGGGTAATCACTGCAAGACGTTTACTCAGACTTTACTGCGAGTTGGAATTATCATTGTTGGAGTTGTAATACCAAGGATGATTCTACAATAATTGTGTCCTTAATTCAGTTTATTTACACTGCTGTGCTCAGTGACTCATCCAAGCCATCATTTCAGTGTTTTAACAGTAATCCTTGCAATTTGATGTAGCTCCTTATCACGTCTCAAAGTGTTTCAGAGGAAATACTGTAAAGTGGGTTGACTGTATTTTGTGGGTAAAACGTGGCAGCCAATTTGTGCACAACAATGTCCCTTAAACGACCATGGGATCTTTAACGCCACCTGAACAGGCAGATAGGACCTCAAGTTAACATCTCATGCACCTCCAATAATGCAACACACCCCCAACACTGCACTGGAATGTCAGCTTAGACTTTGTGATTCCAAGTACCAATGTGGGTCTTGAACCCACAACCTTGTGACTCAGAGGTGAGAACCCTACCACTGAGGTAGGCTGACACAGTAAAAAAAATTAAAGATATTGACTGAAGTCAAACAATTGAAAGGATATTAATGTTATTTATGTTTCGTCACATAAAAGAATTGTGATGAAGAGAAACTCTCCTCTCTCCTACTGCCCAATTCACTTTGTTTATTATGGACTATAGATGTCATGACTTAAGCCTGTTGAAGTAAATAAGATGATAGTAAAACTCTGCAGCCCTGACAAAGATCTGAAGAGATACTTTCCACTGTTCCTTCAGAAGCAGCGCCACACCAGTGACAGAATAAACATGCCTCTCGGAATCAGACGTTGCCATCCTTCTGGCCACTGCTGGACAGAATTTGATATCGTACCTGTACATGGCACCCATGTTTTCGTCACTCAGTGTCTTCTATGTGCTATGTTCCTACTGCTGTAGAACATTCCCTGCAGTATAACTGGGACAATTCCAGACCCTTGACATTATTGAGGGACTGCTCCCTGAAAATAAAAAATGATCTTGCACCTAGTTTGCCGCCTGTAGTAATACTCTTGGGAAATAGAATACTGTACAACCTCTAGCATCCAGGGCTGAATTGTGCCCCTAATATTTATGAAAAGCACAAGTTTTTTTTCAAGCTGCGATCATGCCATTGACATCACAATCTCCACGCAGCCAGCTCTTGCTTCAACTCTCGTCTACAAAAGAATAAACTTAAACTCTTCATAATTTGACTATCTCCGGTTCCCATATCTCTAGCTTATGCAAATAGACTCTGAAGTTTATGCAAATGACTTTTCGAGTAGAGTGTGGCTGACAGTAAAACTGTTGGAGACTATTGAACTCTGGCTTTCTGTGTTTCAGTCAGTCATTGGATCAGGTGCCTGATAATAAAATATTCATGCCCTGATGAAGAACCATACAGAATCTCAGCGTCAGTTATGAAGCTTAGTGCTTTGCTTTATTGTAGTAACATTCACTTCATTCCTTTTGGGACTTTGTTACTAGAAGGTTTACAAAGGCAAAGGGGCCCACATGCTTTCAGTAATCACTTCCACACAACTTTATTTCATGGGAATAATTTAATGATGTGAGCACTTGAAGTGCACAGTGTTCATATATCTCTACCGAGTTCCTCTGAATACAGATCCACATAAAATGATATCTAAAGTACCTCACTTCTATAATTTAAGCTTATTTTTTTAAAAAATCAGAGTTGTGTTGTATCTTCACCAAAGTGAAGTGTCAGGAAAACAGAAGACTTTTCCTTTCTGATCAGTTCAGTGAGCAGAACGTACAGTTGAGCCTTCTTATAACAAAGGCCGGGTCCACACCCCAATCGCGCTTAGGCAAACCTCGATAAATGAAGGTTGTTGTAAAGAGTTTTCAACTGTCCTCTTAGATGGGTACAGCCCCTGTTAGATGTCAAGTGTAGCTGCCTGCACCATACCTGAAATGCTGTACCTGGAGCAGTACTTCATGTATGAACCTATAAATGTACTGAATTGCTATGCAGTCACCCTCTCACATCACCCAATTCCTGATGAATTGTCCATTTTGTGCTCTGGTTCTTTCTCTAAGCACTTGCGAGTTTTTAGGTAAAGTAGAAAAAAATGACCACTGTCCACCTCTCACAGTTCTCAATGCCAAAATAGAATGACAGATGGCAGCCAATATATCCTATCTGCCTTGTGTGCCACAATCCTATTGGCATGGAACTTGCGACCTCCCTCATGTGTTCTGCTAACCACTTGCATGCCTTCTGATTCTGTTCCCTTGTGTTATCTGATTCACAGGAGTCGACTTCAAAATGAAAACCATAGAGGTTGACGGGATCAAAGTACGAATACAGATTTGGTAAGTGCTGTAAAGATCAGCCGTTTCCTGAGAAGTATGATTTGAGTGAACTGTTGTACTTTACCCATTACAATAATACAGAACTACAAATGGAATGTACGAGCTCTCTTCAAAAGAAGACCTTTTCCTTTTATTAGTTTATTTTTATCACATTCAACATTTTTTTTGCACTTCTTTCTTGTAACATAGCCAAGGTAATGTTGTGAGGTGTGTGTGTGTGTAGGCTCATGACGTGTAAGGTTCCACAAAAGCCTGAGCTTAGTGCTCGATATGCTAAGCCAGGAATAGGCATCAATCCCAGTAATTGCTCACTATGTTTCCTACGACAAAAGTGGTGCAAATTTGTTTAGGAAGACATCAAAAAAGGGAGTGAGCGAGCGAGAATCTGAGGCACGGTCTCCATTCAGGCAACGCTTTGAGACATCCTCCTGACCTGAAAAGTGCTACCTGTATGTCATATGCAAGGAATATTATGTGTAATTATTATTATAGTAGCACATTCTAAGTAAAAAGATTGGTCTAGATTGGTCATGTTTTCACCTAAATCCAGATTAATGTTACTGTGGAAATTTGGGAGTATTTCTGAACCAACTGAATATCCAATATTCTCCTTTGTAACCTCCACTCGTGACTATTTGATGATGCAGATTGGCATTGTGGTGTTCAATTCCTTCTTCTTGCAGGAAGTTTAGCTCTCATTTTGAATCCTTAAGGAACTCCAAGCCAACCCACATATATGAGATTGTTTGCACACGGGAGCCTTGCCACCTTTCACATTCATCAAAAACCCTTAAGAAATTTTTGCTAATTTACCATTCTCGAGAATCCTCGGATATTTAATTTGCAAAGGACGGGTTCCATTTTATTCATGCAATGTAATTTCTGGTGGACTGCTGCTCATTCAGTTTAAGAGCCTCAACATTGAATGAAATAAAACTGCGTCAGCACAAGGGATATTTAAGCCCTCAAATTCCCCTCTTGAAATAGGGAAGAAAAAGCATGTTCAATGTGTCTGAATATATCTTTTCAGTTCACTTACATAAAGGGTTGAACACTGCTTTGTCGGAGGTGCCATATCTTAGTTAAAGTGAAGTCCCGTATGCTTGTTCAGATGAAAGTTAAAGATTACATTGCACCATTGAAAAAGAGAAGAGATAACTGCTGTTATATCACTCAGTCACACTCCATAAGATATGTGATTATTTTGTTTGTGAGGATATAATTTCTATTGTACAATCTTTTTTCACCTAAGAAACCAGAAAGAAATGAATGTGTCGACTGACCAGAATCCCAGGTGGGGTAAAAGCTATGTTTCCATGGATACCTGGGTGTGAATTTTAGGGGAAAGGTGGTGGAATCTCTTACTGCAGGAGATTTCTTAAGGAAATTGATCTTTTGCGCTACAACAGCAGGGCATTTGTTTAAAAGCATAGATGAGATTTTTTTTTCTGAAACCAGGCTTTGAGAATTCAGGATTTAATCTTAAAACAATTCTCCAGCTATTTTATCAAATGCTATCTATTGGCTACTGGTTGGTACGGTCAGTGTTTATGGAATCAATCAAGCGTCACTGTGTGTGTGTCTGTCTGTTATTCAGAGAAATTATAATAATTGTAGCAAGTTTTGAGGCCAAGCTGCTTGACTCTGAATACATTCATCTAGAATCCGTTGTGTTTAGTTACATTAGCCACAATACTGGATGGTGTGGTCTCTATGTTCATGTTGGTGCAGGATATCCTGAAATTCCTACCCAATGATGCAGTATAGAGTCCTGTAGCTCAGTGGTTAGAGCACTCGCTTTGCAAGTGAGAGACCTGAGTTCAATTCCAGGCAGAGGGCGAAACCTTGGGCAAGTTTCCTTACTCCACACGCCTAATAATAATCCCTCCAAAACCAAAAACAATAATAAGTTGGTCATTTTCAATCCAGGACTGTTTGTGGGACATTGCTGTGCGCAATTGGCTGCCGCGTTCGCCCACAAATATGCAGTCAATTCACTTTACAGTGTGTTCTGTGAAGCGCTTTGGGACGTCCTCCCGACGTGAAAAGCGCTATATCAAATGCAAGGATTATTATTATTATTATTATTATGCACCAGAGGCTGTGTGCTTGATGCAGCACCATAGAACAAGCTTCTTTCCTTCCAACTCTATTAACTACCATCACATTATTATAAGGTAGAAGGAAAATCTTGGCAAGGACTAAGGTGATGGATGTTCAGAGTTTGATCTTATTTAGAGCGGTATTGGGATGACTGGTGCATTAGAGGTGCTTTCTGAGGCTGTGGCTAAGGCTAGAGGAAGTTATATAAATAATCCAATTTATGTGTCAACATTGCACTCCTTCACCTCTAGAGCAACTCAGTGATGCCTCATCTAATTCATTGTTATTTTTGAAGAAGAAATAACATTTGTTTTTGCTAATCAAATAGCTCTAAGGTTTTTAAAAAAAGAACTGTCCCAATGTGATATAGAGCAGGTGAATTCAAAGCTGTAATGTAGGAAGTGCTTCCCTTCTTGTTGATTGTTAATTAGTTCTGTTGGAAAAGTGGAGTCTGACTCTTGAATGCCCTGAAGTCTGTCATTAGCTTTAAATGTATTGGAAACATCAAAGATTTAAGTCCAGAAGTTGCATTGTGACCTGTGAGCTCTCCATCGAGACTTCCTAAAGTTTAGTTGCTCAGTTGTTTGTACTCTGGGTGTTTACAGTTGGATCATTTGAACCATTTGAATCTATGCTAATTGTATCCTTAAACTTGCTTTTCAGTGAGTTATCCCCATCTAATGGCTCAGCACATACACAGTGTCCAGTACATTTACAAATGCAGATGAGTCAGTTGATGGAAACTAAAACTGAATGTTAATCCATTAAAATGAATAGATTCAGAGAATCATAGAACATTACAGCACAGAAAAAGGCCATTTTATCTATCAAGTCTATGCTGGTGTTTTTTCTCCACAAAAAACTATTTAATCCCACCCTCTTACTCATTCGTGAATACCCTTCAATATTCTTCCTTTTCAAGAATCTAACCAGTTTCCTTTTAAAGATCTCAACCATGGTTTCATATTCTCAGAAAGCTCTGTGTAAATAATTTTTCCAATGTCATGTCTACTGTAATTCCTTTTGTTCCTTAAATCTGTTCCTACCAGCTACTGATTAGTCACAGTATATCCTGGAGTGATGTGCGCTATGGCAGCCGCTGAGTGTGCAAGTCCATGTATTTTCTCTATTTCCAGAACAAGGCTTCTTTTTTCACCTTAATTTCCTTGCCAGTTTTCTCCCTCTGCTTCTATTGGAAATTGCCAGTCCCTTTCCTGGCACTGTTCGAATACCGTTCATCAGGTATTTATTGACGGAGGGGAGTGGGTTGGGGGAGGCTGTACTTGCTAGTGGATCAATATCAGAAGCGAGATGCTGCTTTGTATTCTAGCTAACATTTCACCTTGCCTAGAGGGAGCTGACGTCGATGTGAGGGTATTGAAGAATTTGACATTTCAAAGGTATTTTGTGGTTAGTTCGAGCTTCCTGCCCTTGTCTGCCTTCTCCCCTCCCCTGTTATGAAATATTATAGAAAATTCTAGATTATAGTTTGTGCGAAGTCCAAATGCATAGAAAAGAAATAATCTTGCTCGAGTGCTGCCTGTCTGTAAATGCAGCCTTTTGATGAGTGATGTGATATTTGCGGGATTGAACTGAGAGACGCTGGTAAGGTGAGATTCAATGGAGCCACTGATGTTCACCTCTGTAATGGAGTTTGATGTTAGTTTCATGCCTTTGGTAAAAGCTTTCAGGTCACCAGAGTAGGAAACAGGTATAATTAAACATAAATGGCAATGAACGGCAGAATTCAAATGTGTTTCATTTATAAGATCTAAAGAAAGGTTTAGGTGAAAACGTCACTTTCACCCACTTGTCCGCAACCTTCCAGAACACTCCTACCTCTACCGTATATCCATTTCTTCAGTAAGCCGTTACTTCTGGTTTCATCCAGAGCCCCTCATTGTAGCTGCGGGGATTTTACTGCAAGTGTTAAATATATCCTATTAATACAATATCTTTGAACCTGGCTTTGCATTGCAAATAGAACTGAACCTCTCTTAATGCAATCCCCCTTAAAATTCATTGACTGCGATTTGTGAAGAACGAAACAGCTACATGAATTATTGATGAGTAGATTTTTAATGACGAACTTTTAAATCTGTGCAAAACCGATCAAAATTGAATTCAGGAAACTATCAAATAAAAGCAGGGTTGCTGAAAATCACAACTGAAAGAGAAAAAAGAGGTTAATAGTTTGGTGATGACTTCTCCCTAGAACTTCAACTCCTGCGGAGACTGTCACATCCAAAAGCCTGTTTTTCTCTCTGACATATGGTTTGACCTGCTGTGCGATTCCAGCATTTTGACTCTTAATTTCAGATTTTCAGCATTTTTACCATTTCCTTTTTATTATGTGTTTCAATGCATATTTTATGCACCCTGCCATTTCTGATTAGAAGTGATTTGATATAAATCAAGTCTGAAATATGACTAATTTTCTTTTTGGTTAGCTTCTCATTGTCTTTTTTTTCTTTATAGTTTGGAGTCTGTCCATGTGATATAATATCTCCAAAGAAGAGGAGGGGCTGGAGACTCAGTGCTGCCAGGCTACATCCAGTTTTGTTCTGTTGATGGGTGTGAGGGGAAGGAAAGGCGGATTTGGCAGACTTGGATCCTGATAGAAACCATTGCATGTAACACCCCAGTGTGTTAAAATGTTGATTGTGTGCAACTGAGCACATTTGCTGTTTCTGCACTTGTGAGATTTCTGTCCAAGTCAGAATCCAGGTGTAAATCTTGGTAAATAGTTAAATTTACTGTTCGCAAGTTGGCTGCCCCGTTGTTCTATAAAAATAAGAGCCTTTACAATGAATCCTGTCAAGCGCTTTGAGGCATCTATGCCACGTACAAAGCGCTAATTCAAATGCGAGGATTATTATTAATAATAAAATGCATAA